CTCGTCTAGAGTAATTTCAAATTTTGTGACAAAGCCGATATGATTACTAAACGCATCATTTGTATTCCATTGCTGAGAAATCTCTTTTGCGTATTCTTCATTAAGAACAGGGTAAAAGATAGGCTGTCCCAATAACCTAGGAGGAAACTGTCTAAAGCCTGATTCACCAATGAGTTTCATTTCTTTTTCGCCCACAGGTCTAAATAATGTTACACTTTTCATTTCATATCTCTTTTTAAATAATCCCTTACTTCCATCAATGCAAATCCAAGTAAATTTAGTCCTTGCCATTTTGATGGATTGATTGCATCTTCATGATCACTAGCAAGTCCAATACCCCAAATAGGATCAACGGGACTGGCCTCTACAAGAATCTTATCCCCAGTTTCTATTAAAAATATTTTTAAATCAGGATTTTGTTCGAATTTATATTGATTGCCCTTTAGTACTATATCATATCGGTGTTGCACCCAAATATCTTCATTATAATTTGACACTAATCTACCTAACTTTTTTGCTTCTTCTGGAGTGTTTGATTTCAATATTTGATCAAAAATTTCCATATCGTTAGAAAGTAAAGCCTTTTGAGCCATCATCCAATGTTCAGCTGTTTTAAAAACTTTGTTTTCTACTTCAAATGAGCTATGCCACCATTGGCTAAAACACGTTTTAGTTATATTCCCATCCTTAGATGGACGATGGCCCCAAAAGAATATGAACTCTTTGTTTTCTTTTTGATTTTTACAATAATTTATATCGTACTTCATCCTAATAACTTACTTAAATTTATGACAGATACTTTTTCATCATCAATATCTCTAAAAGAATTTGTGGTAAAAATCTTTTCAAAAACGTCCAACTCCCCAAATCCCTTACTAAAAATACCATGGCTAACTGCTAAATATAACTTCCCAGCATTTTTCTTTTTCAACTCTTCTGCTAAGCCAATAAACGTACCTCCACCATCGCAGATATCATCTACTATCAGGCAATCTTTGCCTTCTAAATCATCCGCATACACCTTAAATCCAGTCAATTGCCCTGTTTTGACATCTCTACTTTTACTACACTCTACTACTTCCATGCCGCCCAAATGTGCTGATACTTTATAGATTTTTTTAAGTGCTCCGCCGTCAGGTGAAATGAGCTTTACTACTGATCCTATCTCATCACAAACTTTGTCGATAAAAGCATGATTGGATATAGTCTCACCATGATTAAGTAACGCAGGCGTAACTTCAGAATGCGGATCAAAAATCGTGACTTTGGTCAATTGTAATTGATTGATCAAATCCGCATAAATCTTGACGGTGAGTGGCTCTCCTCCAATCATCAATCTATCTTGCCTGGCAGCCGGAAAGTAAGGTATAAACAACGCTATTTTTTCGATTCTCATCCTTCGCAATGCATCCACTGCCACGCAGATCATTCCAAAATCATTAAATGAACGAATCCTATGTGTGATAGTTACTAATTCAATGGTCTCGAAAGGTTTTATTTTGATATGTGGTTCACCTCCAGAAAAAACAAAGGCTTCAAATTCTAAGGCTTTTTGATCGCTTAGTGGAAAAAATGATTTATCAAGATTTAGTGTCATTTTGCGTTAATTTTACGCAAATGTAAAGGGTTATTCCGTAATGTGCAAATATTTTGTGTAAAGAATACGCAAATAGGTAAAATAACTTTACAAACCTTCATTTACATTCGTCAAATCATCAAATCAAAGTGAAATCCTTTTTTCTGCAATGCTTTATATTTTTCAACATTAAATCTATAATATTTTGCAGGTCTGCCGCTTTTATTGCTGGATACGCGGTCCGTTTCTTCAATAAAACCAAAACTCAATAGCTTTTTTCTAAAATTCCGCCTGTCTATTTCTTTATTTAAAATGCTCATGTAAAGATTTTCTAGATCGGAAAACAAAAATTCATCGGGCAATAAATCAAATCCAATAGGCTGATAAGTCAATTTATTTTTCAACCTTTCAATAGCTTGTTGCACGATAATCTCATGATCATAACCTAGTTTTGGCATAGACGAAATGTCAAACCAATCTGCAGCTGAAGCATCTGTGTCGGCAGTGAGATTGAGATGGGTAGCATCTACCAATGCCATATAGGCTACAGATATTACACGGAATCTTTTATCTCGATTGATGTCATCTCCGAATGTGTATAGTTGCTCGAGATAATTTACTTTTATGCCCGCTTCTTCCTGCAATTCTCTATGAACAGCTTCAATCAATGGTTCATCATTTTTTACAAATCCACCAGGCAATACCCATTTGTCTTTGTATTCACCATATTTTTGTTTGATAAATAAGATGTACAACTTTTGACTACTATACCCAAAGACAATAGCATCTACGGCAATTCTGATATGTTGATTTGGCTCCAAACTATGCGTATATTTTACGCAAAAGTACTATTTTTGATAAACTCTTTGTGATATTTCCTAAAGTATTTTATTTGGATTTATCGAGATCAAATTATTATCAAAAAACAAAATTACAAGTATTAAAATGTAAAATTTCTATTTTCTTAATTGGTCATTTGGCATGAGGTACTTTTGATATTTATATGATTCGGTTTGTTTTTAATATCCCAACAGATCAATTAAATGTCAGATTTCTTTCGAATAGGTTAAAGCACCCTTTTAGAATAGTATCAAGCAGTTCACTTTTTAAAACTTCATTTAAACCTTCACCGATTATAAATTTGCCTTCTAATTATATCATGTAAAACTTATAAAAATTTATTATGTAATAGTGTACTTTTCTTAGATGTAAACTAAATAATTTTGATCAAAAAGTGATATAAAGAACGGATTATTTTAATTATTATAATATTTTATTTCGAATGTCTCAATGATGGAAAACAGAGATGCTTTTAAATTCTTTAAAATTGTTTGGTCAGAAAACACTATTGCACTACTTTTACACCGATAAATAGTTCTATTACAAAAAAATTAAAAAGAAATTTTTATGAAAACTTATTCTTTATTTATTGGCTTTTTTTTATTATCTACAATGACACTTGTAGGTCAGAAAGTAGTTTCTGTTGGTGGTTCTTTAGGTTGGGCAATTCCTGGAGGATCGGGAGTTAGTGAAAAAGCAGAAGACCTAAACTTAGATGGTGGTCTTACGTACACAGGTGATATCCTTTATCACATTAAACCAAATATCGGAGTAGGTATAGGTTACACTGGTTCTATACTTGCAGGTGGTGGTGAAGGTGATATTGACCTTTTCGGTATGCGTGTTATAGGTGCAAAAGCAAGATATACTTTAAAAGAAGAAGGATTTACTCCTTACGCAAGTCTTACCTTAGGTTTGGCTCAATTATTGACACCTGAATTAACGATTACAGATGCAACAGGTCAAAGTGTAGTAGTACCCGAAAATAATGGTAGTGGTTTGGGTATTATGCCAGAAATAGGTTTGAGTTTTGGAGCTTTTTTTATAAATGCCCAATATATAGTACCTACTAAATTTACTGTTGAAGAAGCACAGATTAAAGACAAATCTGTAGGAACATTAAATATTGGTCTTGGTTACAGATATAACTTCGAATTCTAGTCGAAATATAATAGATTAAAAAGGGACTAAGTTATATTATTTAGTCCCTTTTTTTATTTGAAATTTTAAAAATGAAAAGGCAAACTCTATAATATTTTTGACTATATTATTTCCAATTCTTGCTATCTTACAGGATAACCATTATCAATGTATTTTTGGAGAAATCATCCATTTCATTGTATAAAAACTATAATTTACTTTATTTTTTTAGGTCAATGTATTGCACATTCTATACCTAGGTATCGTGATTCTTTCTATTCTTTCTTTCTAAATAGCATCCTTCCATCCAATATTTATCGCATAAATAGATATTGCACTCGGGTTTTACATCTAAACATTTTATTCGTTATGGCTAAGTAATATGATGGAAATAAAACAAAACATGTCGACATTTGATTTATTATGCATTCACATTAAGCAAATATGAATTTATCATGAACTGGCCAATAATAAACAAAGTACTCAATTACTTACTTATCCTTCTAGTCTTAGGCTACGTAGTTTATTATTTCTACAAACAACCGAAATATGATAGTGGAGAAATGGCTAATGATTTTACGACAACGCTTCTAGATGGGCAGACTTTCAAACTTTCAGAGCTGCGTGGTAAATATGTATTGCTAGATTTTTGGGGATCTTGGTGTGGACCTTGTAGGAGAGAAAATCCAGAGTTAGTATCATTATACAGCGAGACAAGAGATGCGAACTATAAAAGTGCAGGAGGATTCGAGATCGTCAGTGTTGCCATAGAAACCAAAAAAGAGAGTTGGCTGAAGGCTATACAGTCTGATGGATTGACTTGGAGGTATCAAATAGGAGAGTTTGAGCGCTTTAAAAGCCCAATCGCTACACTTTATGGAGTAAAAGAGATCCCTACTAAATACTTTATAAGTCCCGAAGGTAGGATATTGATGGTCAATCCTAAGCTTTCTGAAGTCAAATCTTATTTGGCAGAAAATATCGAGAATTAAGCGAACTTAGCGTGTAATGACGTAATAGATCACATAAATCCAACCCAAAAAAGCATGAATGATAGCCCAAAAGATAGATTTGTTCCTAGACCACGAAGCTACTATTGCAATGACAGCGCCTATACTGATGCCACTACCTACTGAGTAAGCTGTAGTAGATGTGTAACCTTGGCCTATCGCTACTGACGCAATGAGAAACACAAGCAAAAAAGACATTACAAATTTCATTTTTCTAAGGGTTTGATTATGCAAAACTAATGAATTTTTAATAATGGCAATCTTTTTATAGTAAGTTAATTGACCATAAATAACAATTTTTAAGGAAATAAATGCCATTTTTGCACCGAAATTAAGGAGCTGTCTGCCATTTTGACTTAATTATTAGAATGGCAACATAATTGATATTGTAAACGATGTTCAACAAAATAAAAGAGTTTATGTCAAATCAAGTAGAGGAAACTTCTCCAAAGAAGGCTAAAAAAGACAAACATTCTGAAAAGGAAGTTGCTTTACAGCAAGAATTAGAAACACTTCAGGCAGAACTTGAAGAATCAAAAGATAAATACCTTCGTCTTTTTGCAGAGTTTGATAACTTCAAAAAAAGAAGTGTCAAGGAGCGTTTTGAGCTCATGAAAACAGCAGCGCAAGAGACTATTACTGCAATGTTGCCTATTTTGGATGACTTTGATAGAGCCAAAAAAAGTGCAGAAAGTGGCGCCGAAACATTTAGCGAAGGTGTACAACTCGTATATCATAAACTTTATACAACACTAGAGCACAAAGGTCTCAAAGCGATGGAGTCTACAGGCATAGACTTTGATCCTGAATGGCACGAAGCCATCACAGACATACCTGCACCGACAGAAGACCTTAAGGGTAAAGTCATAGACACCGTTGAAAAAGGTTATGTGTTGAATGACAATTTTTTAGCCTTCTTTGGAGAAGTTTCCTCTACTTGATTTGACATAAACTCTTTTATTTTGTTGAACATCGTTTACAATATCAATTATGTTGCCATTCTAATAATTAAGTCAAAATCAACACAGCGTAAATCTGTAACATATAATGAAACGCGATTATTACGAAATATTAGGCGTAGATAAAAATGCCGACGAAGGAACCATAAAAAAGGCTTACCGAAAAGTAGCTATGCAGTTTCACCCTGATAGAAATCCGGGTGACAAAGCGGCAGAGGACAAGTTTAAGGAAGCTGCAGAAGCTTACGAAGTACTCAGCGATGGTAATAAAAAGGCTAGATACGATAGATATGGTCATGCCGGTATGGAAAATATGGGTGGTGGCGGATTTTCAGGCGGTGGAATGAATATGGAAGATATCTTTGCACATTTCGGTGATGTATTTGGCGAAGGTGGAAGTCCGTTTGAAAGCTTTTTTGGTGGATCACAAGGTGGATCACGAAGCAGAACCGGACAGAAAGGTAGCAATCTCAGGATAAAAGTAGCACTTACCTTAGAAGAAATAGAAGCCGGTGTCACCAAAAAAATTAAAGTAAAAAAACAAGTCACTTGCAAAACTTGTGATGGATCAGGTGCCAAAGATAGAAGTAGTATATCTACGTGTGGTACTTGCCAAGGATCGGGATATGTAAGGCAAATAAAAAATACTTTCCTAGGACAAATGCAAACAACTGCTGTATGTCCTACTTGTAATGGTAGCGGCAAAAAAGTCACTGCTTCTTGCGGAACTTGTAGAGGGGACGGTCGTACGACAGATGAAGAATTGATCGAAATTCCAATACCTGCAGGCGTTCAAGACGGAATGCAATTGTCTATGCGTGGTAAAGGAAATGCAGGTCAAGCGGGCGGACCATCAGGTGATTTGCTCATTAGTATTGAAGAAAAACCACATGCTGACCTAAGTAGAGAAGGCAATCATGTGGTATATGACTTATTTTTGAATTTTGCAGATACTGCACTTGGTACACAAGCAGAAGTGCCAACGCTATCGGGCAAGGTGAAAATAAAAATTCCTGCAGGTACACAGTCAGGCAAGATATTGAGATTAAAAGGCAAAGGATTTCCGAGTATGCAACAATATGGCAAAGGAGACCAGTTGATCAATGTCAATGTATGGACACCAAAAAACCTGACAGCTGAAGAAACCCAATTATTAGAGAAAATGCGAACCATGTCTAATTTTAATCCTAAACCAGGAGATGGAGAGAAGGGGTTTTTCGATAGGATGAAGGAATATTTTAATTAAGATAAGTATATAAAACCATATCATTTTGGCCAGAAAAAAGAAATCTGTCTCCAGCTTGCTCATCACAGGAATAGCTGATAAAGGCAAAGCGGTGGGAAGGACTTCAGAAGGTGAAGTGATATTTGTAGATGGTGTGGTTCCCGGTGACGTAGCGGATGTATTGGTATATAGAAGAAAAAAATCTATGAGCCAAGCCATCGTTACAAAATTTGTTACCTACTCACCTGATAGAATAGAAGCTGCGTGTCAACATTTCGGTGTATGTGGTGGTTGCAAATGGCAGCATCTAGCCTACGAAGCGCAACTAAGGCATAAGTTCCAAACCGTAAAAGATAGTGTACGGCGTATTGCAAAATTGGACGAAAGTCTAGTCTTACCTATCATAGGATGTGAAGACAATTTTACATACAGGAATAAGCTTGAATATAGTTTTTCTTCCAAAAGATGGATCACTACCCAAGAAGCAGCAGGAGATGAAGTCATAGACCAACCTGGTGCTGTAGGTTTTCACCGTCCAGGATCATTTGATAAAATTGTGGATATAGAAACATGTCTTTTGCAAGACGACTTGTCCAATCAGATTAGGAATTTTGTGCGGACGTACGCTCATGAACATGATTATTCATTTTACGATATCAAGTCACAGAAAGGTTTTCTCCGAAATATGATCGTGCGCAATACAACACAAGGCGAGTGGATGTTGATCATGATTTTTGGCCATCATGATGGTGATAAAATTAAAGCCATTATGGGTGAGTTGGAAGCAAAGTTTCCACAACTTACTTCCTTAAACTATGTCATTAATACCAAGGTAAATGATACGATTTTTGATCGTGATGTGGCGCTATGGTCGGGTAGGTCTTATATCGTGGAGAAACTCAGAGATGTAAAATATCAAATAGGTACAAAGTCGTTTTTTCAGACCAATCCAAAACAAGCTGTCAGATTATTTGATGTGGCACTAGATTTTGCAGAACTAAAAGACACGGATAATGTATATGACTTGTACACAGGATTAGGAAGTATTGCACTTTATGTCTCATCCAAAGTCAAACACGTCACAGGAATAGAAGAAATACCTGAAGCCATCGCTGATGCAAATGTCAATATGGCTTTTAATGAAATCACCAATGCAACATTTTATGCGGGAGATGTACGAGGGATCTTGAATGAAAGTTTTGTAAAAAAACATGGCAAACCTGATGTCGTCATTACAGATCCACCAAGAGTGGGAATGCATGAAGATGTGGTCCAAACCTTACTTCAACTAGAAGCACCAAGGATCGTGTACATCAGTTGTAATCCTGCTACACAGGCACGTGATCTAGCTTTGCTAAGTGAGAAATATGAGACCATTGCTATCCAACCCGTAGATATGTTTCCACATACACATCATATAGAAAGTGTTGCTAAATTAAAACTCAGAACCTAATATATGGTAAGCGTAGATCAGTTTTTGGCTCTCCAACAGCAATTACAACCTTATAAAAAAATATTGGCGCAAGCGGCTGATGTTATTTTGGATGAAAATGTGTCTAAATATCCCATATTTATAGTTCACCAACAAGAACTTCACATGGGCGTATCGCTCATTGAGGCAGGTGATAAATTTAAATGGTCCGTCAATGCTTCTACCCTAGAAGAGTTTGTGACAAAGGAGTTGATATTTATGGACAAGGCACAAGATTTTATATCTACCTACAAAGACCCCGAAATAAATTTGTGTTTATTTGTGTTGAGTGAACTTGGTGCACAGTTTATTTTTGTACCTAGGTAGGGGATTATCATTCAATCGTCTTTTCTATCACAAAGTATAGGATTCATAATCTGGGATTCCTTTAAAACATCTGATCGAGAATTTAATTCCTAATTAACCTAACAGCTAATTTTCCTTAAAATGATTCCATCCTTGTGCTGTAATAGGATGGATGTTTCCACCAGTAGTATGTAAGGTAATACCTTCAGAAAGATCAGTAATCTCACCAATAATAAATACTTCGGGCATAAACCGGATTTTCTCTAAATCTTTTTCATCTATAGTAAATAGAAGTTCATAATCTTCACCACCATGTAGCGCACAGGTTATTGGGTCAAGATTAAACTCTAGTGCTGTACGTTCTGTATCGGGATGAAGTGGAACTTTACCTTCTTCAATAAAAGCCCCAGTACCTGACTGTTTGCATATATGGATGATTTCGCTAGCGAGACCGTCAGAAACATCGATCATGGCCGTTGGCTTGATGTCCATTTTCTTAAAATATTCTATGGCTCCTGCTTGTGCTTCGGGTTTTAGTTGACGCTCTATAAGGTATTGACTTTTGTCTAGTTCTGGTTGGACACCAGGATGCGCTAGATATACTTGTTTTTCACGTTCAAGAATTTGTAATCCCAGATAAGAAGCGCCTAGATCACCAGTGACACAAATGATGTCCCCTTTTTTTGCACCATTTCTATAGACTATATCTTCTTTTTTTGCTTGGCCTAGTGCTGTAATACTGATTGCCATACCTTTTGGAGATGAAGTCGTGTCTCCACCTATCAGATCTACTTTGTACATTTTGCAAGCAAGGTGAATGCCTTCATAAAATTCACGAAGCGCTTCTAAAGAATATTTATTAGAGACAGCAATAGATACCGTAATTTGGGTTGGCACAGCATTCATTGCAAAGATATCAGAAACATTGACTACGACAGACTTATACCCTAAGTGTTTGAGTGGTGTGTACATCAGGTCAAAGTGGATGCCTTCTATGAGCATATCCGTCGATACTACAGTGACTTCGCCATCGTTTTGGATAATAGCGGCATCATCGCCTACACCTTTGACGGTATTTGTATTGTAAATTTGAATGTGTTGCGTTAGGTCGTCGATAAGCCCAAACTCTCCTAAAGTATTGACATCGGTGAATGTGGTATAATTATTATTGCTCATCATTGGGAAATTTTATGTAGCAAAGATATCGATATTTTAAAAATTAATTGTACTTTAGTACTTTAGATTAAGGCTAAAATTTAAACAGATGTGTATGTAATACAGACGGGATGCCTAAAAGACATCCCATCGAAAATTATCCTTCCACTAATTCTGCCTTTTCAGTGACTTCCCATTTTGAGATCACTTTTTTTTTCTCTTTGTCTACATCTACGCGCTCATCATCCTTAAGAATTAAACGAAGCGAACTATTTTTTGAGATATAATTCCATGCCCAATTGATGAAGACGATCAGTTTGTTACGTACACTAAGTATGAGCATCAAGTGCAAAAACATCCACACTACCCATGCAAAGTATCCCTTAAACTTCATAAAAGGCAACTCCACTACTGCTTTGTTACGACCGATTGTTGCCATAGATCCAAGGTCATTGTACTCATACTCTTTCTGTGGTTTGCCGAGTGTAAGTGCAAGTAAGTTTTTGGAAAGCAATTTACCTTGATTAATGGCTACGTTGGCCACTTGTGGGTGACCTTTGGGGTATTCGGGCGTTTCCATGTACGAGATATCACCAATGGCATAGATGTTTTCAGTGCCATCTATTTTATTTTGTCTATTGACTTTATACCTATTGGTAGGTGTAATGGTTTCAGGATCAAGACCTTTGATAAGATTTCCTGTGACGCCTGCAGCCCAGATTACATGCTTGCTTTGGATGGTCTCCCCATTATTCATTTTTAGATTGATGCCATCATAATCTGTAACAAATACTTGGGTTTTGATGATGACACCAAGATCACGAAGATATTGTTCAGAAGCTTTTCTAGACATTTCACTCATATTATTGAGCGTATTCGGACTACCTTCTAGCAAGATGATTTGCATTTTTGTGAAGTCTATTCTGAAAAAATCTTTAGGTAAAATATCTCTTTTTATCTCTGCAAATGCGCCTGCAAGCTCCACACCTGTCGGTCCACCACCAACTACAACGATATTTAGTAGTGCTTCTTTTTCTTTGTCATCTACATAAAGCAATTTCTCAAAATTCTCGAGTATGCTGTTTCTAATGGTAATTGCCTGATAAGTTGATTTGAGACTGTAAGCATACTTCTTGATATTTTTGTTGCCAAAAAAGTTAGTCTTACATCCTGTGGCGATGACTAAATAATCGTATTCAAAAATTCCGATAGGTGTGTGAACCGTTTTGGTAGATTGGTCCACGCTTTCTACCTTAGTCAAACGAATTCTGACATCTTTTCTTTGTTGAAATATTTTTCGAAAAGGAAATGATATACTTGAAGGCTCAATTTTAGATGACCTTTTCATAGAGAACACAGTGGAATATAATTTGTTTCAGAATACATTGTTAAATAAACTATAAAATATAATTTTGCAAAATATAAATATAATTAATATAAATAATGTTATAATAAGTAAAATGGATTTTCTTGGGAAAGGAAATTTGATCGATAAATATGTTCAAAATCAATTACAAGTGACAAATTTTGGAAGAAAAATAAAAAATTATATTTTGTTTAACACACAAATCCTAAAGTAAAGATTACATTTGTGCTTTGAATACTTCAATTTATTCAAATTTATTTGCCCATGAGGTTAGCATTTAGACTGTTTTCGGCATTTTTGCTTCTCGAAATGATGTGTTTATACCATTGTTTCGGACAGGATGTACAACAGGTTAGCTATCCAAGCCAAACAAACATCCATAGCAATGTAGATCAAGTAAGTCCATCGGAATTTTCTTTGATGGATTTGGTCGAATTCTTAGAAGGAAAAGATGGCGATGAAAATTCAGAAGAAGATACAGAGCATAATCTTAGTTCGGCAAATGATGTTCAGGTCTATACTGAATTAAATTACAATACACCTGACACAGATCTGTGTGCAAAACATCGACTATTAAACTTNATAGAGAACACAGTGGAATATAATTTGTTTCAGAATACATTGTTAAATAAACTATAAAATATAATTTTGCAAAATATAAATATAATTAATATAAATAATGTTATAATAAGTAAAATGGATTTTCTTGGGAAAGGAAATTTGATCGATAAATATGTTCAAAATCAATTACAAGTGACAAATTTTGGAAGAAAAATAAAAAATTATATTTTGTTTAACACACAAATCCTAAAGTAAAGATTACATTTGTGCTTTGAATACTTCAATTTATTCAAATTTATTTGCCCATGAGGTTAGCATTTAGACTGTTTTCGGCATTTTTGCTTCTCGAAATGATGTGTTTATACCATTGTTTCGGACAGGATGTACAACAGGTTAGCTATCCAAGCCAAACAAACATCCATAGCAATGTAGATCAAGTAAGTCCATCGGAATTTTCTTTGATGGATTTGGTCGAATTCTTAGAAGGAAAAGATGGCGATGAAAATTCAGAAGAAGATACAGAGCATAATCTTAGTTCGGCAAATGATGTTCAGGTCTATACTGAATTAAATTACAATACACCTGACACAGATCTGTGTGCAAAACATCGACTATTAAACTTCAAAGAAAATAGATCTCCCCTATTTGTATTGTTCCACAGTTGGAAGTATCACATTTCATAAATCAAAAGGATAGTAGATTAATAGAATTGTAGACTTTAAGACATTGACAATATGTCTTTTTGGATCACATAATTCAATGATCTATTTTACTTATGGAATAATTCCAATTTTATAATTCCATCATGGAAAATTTATATTTGATATAAAACAAGTTTTACACAACTGTTTGGTTATATCAATTTTTTGGATCAATAATCAATATTAAAATCGTGAAAAATAAAAGTTTAAACTTTCCTAAGGATGGCTTGGCTGGCCTTAAGGAGAATTTCAGTTCGGATGCTATATCCGGTTTTATAGTGTTTTTATTAGCATTACCTTTAAGTTTAGGAATAGCCAAAGCTTCAGATTTCCCACCTATTATGGGACTAATTACGGCTATCATTGGTGGCTTGGTGGTTAGTTTTTTTATGGGTAGTCGACTTACCATAAAAGGACCTGCTGCAGGTCTAATAGTCATAGTAGCGGGTGCCGTGACTGACTTTGGAGGTGGAGAGACGGGATGGCATTTAGCCTTAGGCTGTATGTTTGTGGCTGCATTGTTGCAAATAGTATTTGGATTACTCAAATTCGGAAAACTAGCTGACTTCTTTCCTTTGCCAGCTATACATGGTATGCTAGCAGCGATAGGTATCATCATCATAGCCAAACAAATTCCCGTACTACTCAATGTCAATCCGACATTAATGGCAGGAAAAAGTCCATTGGCTATTTTGGGTTCGTTGCCTACTGTTATTGCCAATTTAGATCCTAGAGGTGCGATGATAGGTGTGGTGAGTCTTGCGATTATGCTTGGATGGCCTTATTTAAAAAAATCATTTATAGGTAAGATACCTGCCCCACTGATGGTTTTGATCATTGCAGTGCCTGCTGAATTGATAATGGATTTCTCACATACTGAGCCAGCTTAT